CAGTTCGATTATTCCCTGCTACACTATTGGTGTGATGACACGCCTTTAACCGAGCCGAACACTACAGAAGTAGTTGCTGTAGTTCTTCTGTAGCTACCGCTTCTCACGGTGAATGCCTGCTGAGTGTGGAGCGCTGGTACAGCGAGACGTGTTTGGCAGTTATCGCGTGCGGTCACAGTTATTTGGAGCCGTCACCTGTGCGGTTACCGGTTCATTGACCATAAATCTATGGGCATGAAGTGTCGTCCCCTGTAAGCAACAAAGCTTCTCCTTGAAAGCATTCGACGCCAGGTCCAACGGTAGCGTGATATCACCATTTGATCGAACCGGTAGCACCTTGCGGGCTGTCCACAGATGTGGGGTCAAGTACCTACGTGGTTTCTTGCGAATTACAACCATAAAAGGAGGAACCAGCAACTTGCGAATTCGCTTCTTGGACTGGGAGAACCGAATGTTTATGTCCACGACATGATTCTGTAGCGGGGAAGCTGGCTATCAGATAGCACGTCAATTGCGACCAGCAAAGCATGAGGTTGACAAGTTGGTCTAAATTTGAGAGAACTCGCAATCACGTAAAGATCACTAATCTGCATTCGTCCACGACATGATTCTGTAGCGGGGAAGCTGGCTATCAGATAGCACGTCAATTGCGACCAGCAAAGCATGAGGTTGACAAGTTGGTCTAAATATGGGAGAACTCCCAACCACGTAAAGATCACCAATCCTGCATTCATGGTGGTCGCTTGGGGAGGCGTCTATTGGTGACGCCGGGACTGAGCCTACCAAACTCGGTGATAAGGAGAGATCTGAGTGACATGACTGCGGACATTCGATTTCCTTATTTGGATTTCCGGATGGCTGGAGACGCCCATTGTTTCTTACCTATTGAACCAGTTCCTTCAAGCTGTAATTTCCAGCGCGCTTCATTTTCAAGGACCTGACACGCTCGGACTGACTTAGCACTCAAAAACAAGCCAGAAGGATCCCCTGAAGGAATGGAAGCCATGAGGACCTGAAGAGAATAAAAGAAGGCAAAATCGCGGTTCCACGGGTGAATCACCCCGACTCATCCCTACCAAGAGAAAACAGTGGACGAATAGAGGGTATCTGACTTTTACTGGTCGCCCTCCGCGAGGGGTCTCTCTTGGAGGAATAGCTGTGTCTGGGCACTTCTGATGTTCCCTTGTGAGGATGAGCGTCGCACCTCGGGGACCTGAAGAATGGAAAATGTTGCTGTGGTTCCTTCGAAAGAGTGGTCTCTCTTACAGAGGTTATAAGATGAACACTTTATTCTGTCGAACCTACGATTATTACGCAGATGCAGCGTGAGACTGTGACAGTAGTCTAGTTGATTACCCTGTCGAAATTGGACTATCAAAGCATGTGAATTCGTCTGATGTGCTGTTTCATCCATTTCTACCACACACACAGTGTAACCGTAACGAAAAGGGAGTTTATTCAAACGCGCCAAAAGAACTTGTTTATTTTGATTCTTTCAACGACCTTGTTTACCGCAGCACAATGAAACCGACTCGAGGTTGTAAACAGGACACAGGATGGCGTCGCTGGAACACATTCATCATCAACGGAAAGTGTTTATTATCGTGAGGCGAGAAAAACAGAAAACGGTGTCTGGTTTGAAACGAGAGGACGGCTGTTTTTGTATCCAACAGAAACAGTATTATTCCAGTGTCGACAACGAGGAGGTCATGTAGGAATACTCGGGGAGATTGGGCTGCCTCCAAATTCCTACCAAAGCTCCATCCAACAACACAACTATGAAAAACACGCGATTGATCAGTGAAGCATCAACTCCGCTTTGCATGAGTACTTATGAACAACTAATCTGACACCTATAATATTGATTATTGATTGATTCAATGTCGATTGCACCACAGTCATGGGTGATAGGGACTCTTCATGCGAATGACAAGTGTTCCGAGAACCCTGAGAATTAGCGTGCAGTGAATTCCGACGTAGAAATAAAGACTTGAAACAAGAGCCACCGATGACCTTGTCGTTAAAATTTTGGGTAGGTAGATCCTGGTATTGAAGATGGTAGTAGGAAACTCTCTTGAAGGGACCTACCTACTGCCCCATTTTTCAGTCCAACTCGTGTGCTTGGAAGTGAACGCCCATTTTTCCCTTTGTGAGCAAAGCTCATCTAAGCGGCACCTTGAGGAATGAAGCCGTTTTGACAACTTATAACCTGTACGATGCGGGCACACGTTGGAGCCTCCAACTTAGGGAGGAAGGAATTTCATTGACTCAGTTTATTGTGACGTGAACCCGACAAAGCGAACTATCTCCAGACTAGGACCATCGATACAGGAACTACCGCAAGCATGCGTGACATTTTTACCTGTAACGTTGGCTTTATTGCTCTTGCGAGTTAGAAATGACGTAGGGCGCGTTTTGGCTTCCCAAGACCTGTTATCAGGAAGGTCAGATTCCTGAATGTATCCTCAGGACGCCCGGAACCTACTGCTCCACCGAAATCTCAACAGGAAAGCCGGCAAGCATCCAGGCCAGTCAGTCATTCGATCAATTAAGCAAGAGCTGATGAGTGTTCATGCACGCCACAGAAGCACGACCGAATGTGATCTGCGTTCAGGCATTTCATAGAGGCACGATCAATGTTGATGGGTGTTCACTAAGGCCTATCAGAAAGCCTGAATCAATGTCAGAAAGTCCCCTTTAAATAGCGTGGGGCCGTTGTAACTTTTGCTCTCACACTCGCTGGTTCGGAATATAACGTTTGTGTTCCCTTCTGTGAGTCTTTTTTCTCCGGCAACTAGGCACTAAAGCGGGTCAGCAGCAGATACCACAGATTGACGAATCAGCAGATATAGCACCTGCCAACAAGTGGCAAGCGAGAGTACGTTCGTGCTGTAATGCAGCCCGAAAAAATGAACAAGGAGGTATGCCTTCCCAGGGCAAAACAGAGGGGTGGATAAGTTAAAATCACGTGGCTCGTTAGCTGATGTCAGTGACGGTGCATAACCTAAACACACAGTAAATTTGTCAAAAATTCACGGCGAAAAGACTTGTGTGCCAAAGAAAAATGATTTTTTGGGGAGGGGTTTTCCTGGAAACCAAGGAAGAAACTCGAATGATGGTTTGTCTGGAGGATATTGACAATGTTTTGGTTCAACGGTCCTGTCTGTTTGAAAGACCCATGCATAACATTACGGCGGTTGGAAACCGAGGTTTTCCAAGCCTGCTCGGGAACACACGTCACTTCGATCAGAACCCCCAAATTATGTGGGATGAATCATTTGTAAGCATGCAGTTCATAACTGTACGTGAGCTGGAATAATGCCACGGCACCCAGGTCTAGACAGGAGGACGATTGAAGTCCTCAACCAAAGCCTTTGGCTCGAAAGCCCAACTGCAATGCAGAGTTGGTTGACTTAAGACTGTCAAAGCAGCCTTGAGGAATCCCCGCACCACCGCTTCACATCCCCCCTCCCACCCCCCACCCCCCGCGCTAGATTTTGACCCGTCTCTCTAGGGCAGGAAGCACTGTAGATAAATATCTAACAGAGGTTTCTTCCTGCAATGAAAGCAGTGCGCGAAACTCCAATAGAGTCTGGAACCCGTGAAACTCCCATTTGGCCACAAGCGACCGATCAGCTATGTGATTAACTCGCACAGAGCGTGACTCATTCATCGATCAAGGAACCTACACAACTTGGTCACGTGTTGTTTGGCTTGCAGAGTGACGAGTTCTCTCTCTTAGCAGTCCATCCAACAACAAACAACAAGTGACTATGTGATGCCTAGACACGATTTAATCACATTGCTGATCAGCCGCCGGAAGGTTAGTTGTTCAAACTACTGACCGGGAGCTCATGACTTTCGAGAAATGAGCACTGTTCATGATTCCCATCAAGGATGAAACAGCTAGACAGTGTTTATCGGGTTTTCGGCATGGATCGGCTTATCTTATGGGGCGAAATCTCCACGTAGAATTACCCAGTCTTCTTACACTACTAACAGCGTAAACACATTACTTGATTCATTTCACGGGCTGAAGTTTCACACAACTATCCACGTCATTCGAAGGAAGCCACTCGAAGTTACTAGAATGATGATGAATCAAAACAAAGGTTTTCATCATCCGCAACTTAGGATTTTTTGAAATGACGTTTTATCAACCCCACAGTAGATTCACAATCATTCGCAAATAGTCTATTGATCCCTTAATTTATGCTACCCATGGTCGAAAGGTCCCTGGTCAAAGTATCTTCAAGCTGAGCGATCACAACAGAGCTTTCTGGTGGACTTCACCCACCCAAAAGTGCACTGATGATGTTTCCTCGTATGCTAACGAAACTTCTGCACTCTCGGTGAACAACGGATCACCAGGCACCCGATCAATAACCAGTAAATTCACCCAAGCTAAACAATAATTCAACACATTAGCAGGTTGCAAACCCTATACAGACGGCATCACTCCAGAGCTGTGTTGATGTCACTGGCGCGGACTGAGAATGAACGGTGAGCATCGTCAACGTTTTTGCATAGCAACAGACTCACCTGGAACCCAGCTGAATTTCTCGGTTTTGATGTTTCCAGACAACCAAATGTGCCACACCAGGCCGCCTCATGTTTCAGTCACTACGATATCCGAGATATCGCGATACATATATATTTTTGTAATGCACTACTCATAAGCTTGCTGATAAGCCGTCGACAGCCCACGACCGGCTTCACCCTTCTTGGGGCTCATCAGGCAGGCGCAGTCCCCGAGTTTCCGTGGACTTCGAGAAGTTTTCAGCAACCTTATGAGTAGTGCATTACAAAAACACCGTGTCGATTACGAAAAACGTGTCGATGTGTCAGTAAACGGACCGTCGTGGATGTGCCTCAATTTTCAACACAGAGAAGAACGTTCCGGTACTACATAAACCGATTGATGGCCCTGGACAATCCATTTAAACGTTTTGTTAACAATAGCCTGACCTAGTTCCACGATCAATACTAATCTCACCTACCTCCTTCACGATTCGACGAAGGTCCTGGTGAGCATTCTGTAGACCAAGCGAAATCAGATTCATCAATCCGGTGGCATTCAAAGACGACAGAAGTTGATCAAACGCGGCCTGGATTTGATTTCTTGCCGGTCCTTGCCTTGGTGAAGCAAGAAGGCGTTGCCAAGGCGTTTGACTTTTACCCTGTTCATCCAGATCTGATCCATCCATCTCCATGGGCCAAAATAAGAGCGGAGGAGCCAAGCAGCCTCGGAGCACGTTTGAGCAATAGTTGGGACAAAAATGACCCACGGTCAGTAGTTTGTCTGGTCCCACGAAGTCATCAGAACAGCCCTGGACGAGACGGTTGAGGCCCAGTTGACAAGCTGGCAGTGGTTGGGAATTCAAGTAGGTCATTGTGAGCTGAAATAATGTAATAAATAACATTTCAGCCAAATATGGAGACGTGTCAAAAAGGCATTCAAGTACTTCACGCACTAAACACAAGGTTGCTGCATCTCTTCGAAAGCCTACTCAGCAACCTTATGAGTAGTGTGTTATGCCTACTGCAATACTGGTGTATCTTACTGAATGAAACATGAGGTAAATTTCTTCAATTGTAGAACCGTTTCGGCGCCCAGCTGCAATGCAACCAGGAGGAAGCACGAGGGCTGGGACACTACCAAGTAGCCCAGGGGAAGTCAAGGGACAGAGGTTGGGTTCGAACCACGGACCTTCCGGTCAGTAAATTCGCGCTCTAACGTAATGGTGGCTTTCATTCAGCAATATTTCGTAGCCGTAAGACAGAACTGTAGGCTATTCCACGAGCTTTGTCAAAACCTGGTGATACAGCTCTATTAGACTGATCCTAAATGGAGGTCAAAGNGTTTCCTTACCACCTCCGTACTGATTCGTTTTACATCACTAGACTACTCTTGTATAACAGTAGCAAATGGTGTAGAAAATCCTCAGTGATGGTGAACCACTTTCGGGAATGTTGACATTTCACCTTGGATGGGGAACTTCCTCTTGGTACGGAAAAAAATTACCGCCGCTTTTAGTAATTCCTTCATTTGGTTAACGAATAATCAACCTTTTTGTGCGTCTTGTTCAATAGTACAAGAAGAACGTTTGCAATGAAATCAAGTCAGGCAGCTCCACATATTCAGCAGCCCGGTAAAATTGTTCCCACTTTCGAGAGGTCATCCTAAGAATAGATCTGCCGTCGAAGAACGATTCAGTATCGCCTCCGGAAGCTGCCAGCAAATTTCAAGCTCACGTGACCAGAAACACCGATCGGTTTTGTTGTTACCCAGTCAGTCCCGGAAGCTGCCAGCAAATTTCAAGCTCACGTGACCAGAAACACCGATCGGTTTTGTTGTTACTTCACCAGTCAGTCTCCTTCTAATCTTGTTATTTTAGAAAATGATGGTATTAGGAACTATCACTCGGCGTGTATGGGTTCACATGATCCACCTACGTACTGATGGCGATGATCATTCAAGAAGGGATTTTCAGCATGACAACTATATATACAGGGTGTCTCATAATAAACGCAAAATTTAATTGGGTAAGTAAACGCAGTTATTTGAAGGTGACGAAAATTTTTCACTATTAGTAGCCACATAAAGGAGGTTTTGTGCAAGTGTACGCAAGTTTTTGTCTACGATGGATGTCAGTACGCGCATTGAAATTGTGAAACTCTACTATTCCCTTGGTGAAAGCGCCACCGCTGCATTTCGTGCTTACAAAACCAAACATGGTCTCATCAAAGATCCTTTCACCGTGTCGACCATTACAACAAGCACAACTGCGTGATATGGTCCCGTGAAGCTCCTCACGAGTGCCTCACCCATAATCCCCATTCTCCTCATCTGTGTATGTGGATGGGATTCTCCTCAAAGTGTCTCCTGCGTCCCTTTTTCTTTGATGCTACAGTTTCCGGAGACAGTTGTCTCCATATGCTGCAGACGCATGTTATCCCGCAACTCAAGCAGCACAAGAAGTCATCGGTCGTCCTTCAGCAAGATGGCGCTCCACCCCACTGCTCAAACCAAGTGAGAACTTACCTCCGAGATCAATTTTCTGATGAGAATTTTGGCCCAAACTTCTGGCCAAAATTTTGGCCCACAAGGTCACCCGATCTCNAAATGATAAATATTTAAATTGGTATCAAAGTTTTAACATGAGTATTATTTTTTGCGTTTATTATAAGACACCCTGTGGCTCGGATTTCAGCACAGTGGAGCTGCTCGCTCGTACGAGAAACAGCTAGAAGAGGGCATCACACAAGAGCCGACACACGCAAGATGTCCATCAGGTAATGACACTAAGGGATATTTCAAAAAAGCCTAGTAAAGGTGTCAAGATACTCGTAGTCAACCCACTCCGTTTCGTGGAATCCTTATGGCAGCATCAGGTTACCATGTTAGTTGCTAACCGGCCTAGTTTCATAGTTCCAGCTGAGGGGAGGGATAGTGAAGATACATACTCACATGCAACCTACAGGTCCCGCTTGACTCACTTTACAGAAGTGGAGATCTAACCTTGCGTGGATTTTTCTCTGAAAACATGTTCATCAACGCGAGGAACCTGTATGAAATCCTAGGAAATGGCATTCGAAGCTAGTATTTAACAAAGTCCCTGTGAAGTTCCTCTGATTTCTTTTAAACTAAACCTTTTCCTGAGTTAGGGTGACTACAAATCGCAAAAACGTGTCTTGGTATCAGTCGCAAGTAGGGAACGAAAGTGTCGAAATAAAGGTGCGGCTGTATCAAATTACGGTGACCTAAGGGGTGCGCGCCATTCCTCGCGTCCTCTGTGAGCATTTTCGAGGTTTAGTGTGTCCAGGTGATTGGCTGTTCTTACATCCAGTGGAAATTGGCAGGTGCAGCTCGCAGTGGGAAGTTATACCGGTCTGGTGAGGCCAAATAGGCGTAGGTTTACGTGGTTTGTAGGCGCTTTTTTAGCCGTGTATCGATCGAAGGTTTTCTATCCTTCTATCTTGATCCCACAAATCTGGTATCCGTTTGACATTACCGAGTTCACTGGCAGTTTCTGTAGATCCTGTACAATTGGCTCAGTATGACTGTGCCGGCGTGTTTGTCCGGTCACGTTATCAGGGCGTGATGGCTCAACTGCTTAGAGTGCGGATTTACTGACCGAAAGGTCCGTGGTTCGAATCCGACCTCCCCTGCCTAGGCTTGGGCAACCTGGCAGTTTCCCAGCCCTCGTGCTTTCTTCGGGTAGCATGGCAGCTAGGCACCGATCGATGTCCTTGTTCATAGGGTTTTAAGCTCCCCGGATGGTGGAAGAGCTCAAAATATTTTACAGGAGCTTGGCGATATTTTTAACAGGAAACGACCAAATCTGATTCAATTAGAACTGTTTGACATTCACATTAGAAGGGCTGTTTGAATGAATTTCAACAGCCGGCCGATCTCCACTACATCGTGGACAACTTAGGTCAGAAGTCCAGGCTTGGTAAAGGCCTGACAAAGGGAGTTTAAAGCTCAAACGTGGCATCCTTGGTCGAAACGAAACACGCAGTAGATGCGAATTCTGTTTTCCTGCAGGTTAACAGCAGGGTTCATTGTCATCGGATTAAGAAACCCCGCCTTCTGTACCCGAAAGAAGGATGCACGTTCACACGATACACTTGACATGGTCCCGAGCGAACATTCCAGAAGTTTCTACAAGATGACCACTGACCATGACACATGACGAGCATTCACGACACATTAGCCTGACATTGAAATTTTGTGCTGATCGTTTTACGGAAACCGAAAGCCCGTCCCAAAATGGACTCGAATTTGACATGTTGTGACCTTGTTGTTGAATCGACCGTTTGTCAACACGCCTTCCATGATCATTCGTTACCCAAACTCACTTTCCATCCCCTTGATTCTCATCGTAAGCATGTGACGTATTCCAAACTCCTTTCATCCATCACAAACTAAGGACAATTAAAAAGAACTCCATAGGTGATGATGTCACCTTGAGTGATGATGAAGCGTTTACAATCAAATTACCCAGATCAACTAACATAGCTACGATCATCGTGATGTTTCTTGCTTGAAAAAAAAATCATTCCCTTCTAGGGAACCAGAAGATGACTGACATTCCGTTCTTGCTTTTGGCTTTCTGAAGCAGAGTGCACGGTTCCTAGCCTCAAATTTACGTTGACCAACCATTATTGGCTATTTGCGGACAAAGCCCACATTCCCGGTAACTTTAATTCCAGGTCTAAAACGCAGTGGATGCGAACCATTATAAATTTTCACAAACTTTTGTTCAAACTGTCGAGAAATACATTTTTTCTGTGAGACTAAAAACAATGACTAAGCTCGCCCAGGAACGTTATAATTAGTAGTTAATTAGTTTTGGTAAAGATGCCGTCCACCTGTTGGTGAAACGAAAAACGGGAAAAACCAATATCTAGACTGGAGATGAGAGGGGGGATCACTTGGAGCGGAGTAAGAATATCAAAAAAATTTCGACCGTCTCTGAAAGGTGTTCGATTTGGAAGTCGGTTGCCCGAATGTCAGCGAAATGAAAGTGAACAGATTTCAACATCCGTTAAAAACGCCGACCATTGGTGGAGCCGTTTGAATGTGCTGTCACGTGAATTTGTTGTCCAATGACGATTCAGTCTGCTGAGGTGCGTCCGCTCACACTGAGCTACTATTGGTTGTAGGATAACTGGGGTGTTTGGCCCAAACCTTCCTCTTACGACAGCACCATGACAATGCCTATCTCAAGAACGTGTAGCCATATGCCCCTCCGAGCAGACGCAATTAGTGTTACCGACATAAATCCAATCGAAAAAGCCCCCGAAACAGGGTATCACTTGCATGGATCGTTCAAAGAGGTGTTCCTCATCAGCCACGACGTGATTCGCAATCTCACCGAAGAACGCCCATTCCCTCTGAGTGGGACCGAATAGCTTTTCCCATGTGGTCGTGTCTCTTTGGAGATTACCGTTATAAAAACACTGTGGCGTACTTTTATGTTTCTCAGATCTCGTCATCAGGTCAGCACATTTATAGTGGTTGAAATAGGGGTAAATATTGACAGAAGCAGCGAAGATTGGTTGGTGAAATGAAAAAAAACGTGGAGACAAACGACTGGTTGTCTGCGCCCCCACGTCACATCTGATTGGACGCTGTGAGACGATCGAGAGGGCCGTTGAGTGAATTGGCCGGTGTCACATGACCAAGGCACACGCAGCTTTCGTTTGAAATGGTTTTGACAACACGGTACCGGGTTTCGCAGAAGTATAGCGATTGCCTCAGTTGTAGTCAAGCCACGCGGCCTTTTGCGCACGCGGTAAGTGATACGAAATGACTCATTCGGATTGACCACGCGCCCGGTGTCAATTAAGTGGGACGCGATTGAGCTTTTGGCTGAACCGGTAAGAGAGATGATCACGTGTTCTCTTAGAAAGTGCCGTGTTTGTGCGCCCAACATATTCCGCTGAACAACAGCAGGAGAAAGAATACACAACCATATTCTGGGTGAGGACTGGCATCTCGTCTTTGAGGGTTAAGTTGAGCAACGGGTTGGTTGTAAGCCAAGACCGCAGAGTTCCAGCTGGAAACGTACGTTGTGGGGATTGAAACAAGCGAAGATTGACCACAGCCGAGACAGTTGCTTACATCTGCGAGAACCGGTACTGTGTTGTCAAAAACGTTTCGTACGAACGCTGAGTCTACCTTGGTCATGTGATACGAGTCAACCGGCCAAGTCACTCAACGGCCCGCTAGACCGTCTCACAGAATCCAATTAGATGAGGCGTGGGGCCGCAGACAACCAATCGTTCGTGTCTCCACGTTTTGCATTTCACTAACCAATCATCGCTGCTTGCCTCATTTTTCGATCCTATTTTAACCATTAGATATGTACTGACCTGATGACGAGATCCCGAAAACTTTAACGTCCGTCAGTGTGTTCTTTTTCAATTCGTGGAGATATTTAAGCAATGACTTACATTAGTAGTCTGTTCTTTTCACTAGAGTATCCACAGGGCTTTAACCACTACAGCTTGTGTAACAGAGCTTTATCGCTAGCTGGCTCACAAATTTGGCTTAGTTCGACTACTTAGAACCTATCTAATTGTCCCAGTTTGGAGACGTCACTGAGGTTGATCCGAGAGTAAACCGCTTCGCGAAAGACCACACGACCCGCTTGCAACAACCAAATTGCCGTTGGCTACCAAGAGGATATGCGACAGTCATTGTGGAAAATTTAGTCACATTTTAACGGAAATCCACAGAAACCAACCGAATGAAAAGAGGCGCCCATTCGCTAGATACACAAGGCGTGGAATTCCGTCCTCACCACTGGTTGTTCCTCCATCGAAGAAATGCTTTCCTCAAGGAGGGATGCTTGTTTACTCAATGGGATTGGGTCAGAATGCAGTGATTCTGTTGCTGGAATGTGTATGGAGTTGTATCTACCTGTGAGTTTAACCAGTACGCTTTACAGCAAGGTTAGGATACCATAAACCCTACGAAATAAGCTACAAGAACAAAGTAAGTGATATTTTATGATCTCACTAGACACGGAATTCTTCTAGCTGGATGTCAGACTCAATCTTTAGCTCACCGAACAGAGGACGGAACAAGGGAGAAGGAAAGGGTGGTTTTCGAGTGATTTTACTGATTAAAGATCAAGTCAACTGTCAGTTTGACCGGTACCGTGTGGCTTGTTCGCTGAGCCGAGCGGTTTGGTCGCGAACGTTTCATCACCAGCCGAGGTACATCGTAAGGCGAACTGCATGATTTTCGTTCGCGCATGGGTTGACACAGAGCAGCTATTGGCCCGGTGAGCGTGCGTCCCTGTTGATCGCTCCGTCCTCTGATTGGTGGCTGTTCTGACTTGACCTTTTCAGTGCCCAATGAATGTGAGCCACTGGGTTTTTGTATGTGAAGTTCGGGTTAACGCCGACGCAAGAACGAAACGCAGGCTTGAGGCCGACCGCCCGTTTGTTGCTCAACCGGAACTGCTAGGCCTCAAATCCACGAACATGAACTACGCGTATTCTTCGGGATGTTTT